TATAAGTGTTATAAGAGTTAAACCTGTATTTATATTTACAATTAATAGTTTGGTGTTGAAAACAATAAACGCATCCTTTATAAATAAACAATGAATGTAAACAAGGCCAATCTATAAACAATACTTAAGATGTAAGAAAAGTACAGAGACTGGCAGTATGTAGCGTTTCCTGTCTAAAATTAGGCCGAATTGAATGTCATGTGATGTTCCAAAAACCAATCACAGCAAAGCATCTAAACTGACGGACTTGGGTACAGAAAGGTATAAATTCATTTCATCTCAAGATCGTGATCAGACAACAACTTTACAAGTACTTCTATCTTTCCAATTATGACACGCGCAAGAAATTGGCGGTATTAAAAAAGCTGATCGAAATATATATATATTTACATTTCGATTACCGTACAGGATCGTCACATTTACGAATAAGAAGTAGTGACAAGAAGTATAGTTATGTAAAAAAAATAGTTGCGTACGATACGAGTAAAGACGTAGACCATGTGAAGGTAAATTATATTTGTTCAGCGTATTTACTAAATCTATAATTGATTCGTTTTGTAGCTATTTTTTTTCAGCGGAGGCGCCCGAGCTGTCGCGTCCAATCCATGTTAGTTTTGTTTTATATTTATAGATACCATTAAATATAAATGCATTTGTTTCGAACTGCTAATAATTATTTTATTCACCTAACAATCTTATACCACAGTCCCTCCGGGGACTGTGCTAGTCGTCACCTGCGCATGTGTCAGATAGCCATAACGTGTCATTGTTTACAAACAAGCGTCTACTCGTGAGCCTTTGCGTTTTTAGTGTGCGTTGTCATCGTCGCTTGGGACTCAATTCTCGCGCGTGCGCAGGTGACGACCCTCCCGCTTTAAACGTTCAGGCTGTGCATTGACAACATGACGCGTGATCGTCTCCCACCCGGGATGATGGTCACATTGTATTAGGTGTGTAGCACATCAGCGTATCAAGAATTGTTTGTAAGTGGGGTGTTTTACTTGAGCCAGTCCCACACAGAGCCCAAGAAGTCCCCCATTCAACTAGAAAATCAACGGAATTCAATAAAACCTTTCTTAAGCCCTTCGTTGTAAAGTCTGGCCAAAACCCCCTGCAATCTGCCCCCACCCATCGAAATATGAAAATTTCCCAGGAATTCACTTTACATTAAACGTTCCCGCCACTACGAAAGGTAGAGCTCCAATTATGGCCGCTTGTTTTAGCATTCGATCGCTAGCTAGTTAGATAATACACATGACCATCGCCGAGGGTGCGTCACTACACGAGAGTAAACTGTAACCAAACAAACTAATAATTCGTTCATTAACATTTTTGTGTGCACGGGTCACTTTTGGGCAATGGAGGCGAACATCCGTACAAGTTGTTGCGGCAGTCATTTGTTTGGAATGTAAATGATTTCTGTTGACAGTTTCGTGACTTCTCAACGCCATTTTCATTTGCTGGCAAGTTTAACTCTGTTTTGACTTCAATTACTACCCCACAAACTCCGACAAGGGAAAAAGCCAGAAGTACGGAGTCGATTAGTACAGCAAGTGATTCAGGTATTTCAAGAGAGATACTATCAGAAGAGTTTGAAGATGCTCAGCGGATGGAATCGAGTGATGTGTCTACTTCCGTGAACGATGGAACTGAGCTCTCATCGCCTTTGTATGTTACATATTCTGTTCTATCCTTAGTCACTACAATGCAACCGACTTTATGACGCCAGTAGGACAAACAATTGACTTGCCATCATGAGTACGAGTGTAAAATCAATATATTCAGTGTTTGTTTCGTAAACATAAGACAAGTCATTAAAATCAATGCAGCCACCGTTTTTTAAACTTGTTTGAATTCTTGTGGTTCTGACACTTTTAAACAAGTGTCAGAATACTATGACAGCATGCTTGCCAATTCGCCATCTTTCCAACTAAGCAGACGACATACTATTTTAATATTACTAATCATTGTCACCAAAAAAGTAATTTGTTTTACAGGATTGTTGGTCAAACTACTCAACCCCTCAACCCCAAATCAATGTCTCCAACTAATCAGTGAACAAGTTAGTCATTTGCTTTAGATGTGTTCCAATTTCATTGATACAGACATTTGTTATTCAAAGTTTAAATTGTCACAAATTAACAAACAGATAAAGCAAGCTTTACTCATTGTGTAAACGATATTCCCCTGTAACCATGATTTATTGACAGTTGATATTCTAGTCTCCACAAACAAAGATCAGATTAACACCCTCTATGTTTATCATGTTAGCAAGTTCAGCAAGAATAAACATTGTCAAGGTAAAGACAGTAGAACAACTGTTGGTGGTCTAGCCTTCTGCAAGAAGAAATGCCATTTATTAAAGGGATATCAATGTGATAAATAAAATCGTAACATACTTTTTGTTTTTGTTACACTTTAGGGCGTCAAGTACTCCGAGCAATGGAAGGAAAAGACAAATGTCAGAAGCTGCCAAGCATCTAACTGTGCCTGCATTGACAAAGAAAAAGAAAGCGCAGGAAGTAAACAGACAGCTTGAAATTGGTCAGATCAAAGAGTGTCATATAGGTAAAAAAAATATTGTTGTGTTGGTTTGTTATTATTGTGCGAGACACTGTCATATTAAAGCGTGGGGTTTGTTGCATGAATAACACTATTAATGTATATCGCTAAGTAGCAGCTGGCATGTACATTAATTTATTAAAATAATCAATTTAGCAAATTTTAAAAAATCCTCAATTATAGAGTTTACGTATGCAACCTTGGCTTATTACACGTAACCTTTGTGTCAGTTAAAGGGGGAAAGCAAAGCATTATGGGTTTGCTGTGTCAGCATAAGCTAAATTCATAATATAGCACCATGATGAGTTGTGTGTGTTTTTTAATGTATTTCTCTTTCTGTGAATCTATAATATTTATAATTAATAACAAAACTTCATTTGTTCTAAGAACTATTTTGTAATTGAACCCAGTTTCAAAGATTTGCTAGATTTCCATTTTTGTTTGCTTGATCAGAAATGTTGTTTTAAACTCAACTACAGTAGCTTTATTACTTGACCAATCAAAAGAACATATTTTGTAAATAAAAATTCTGGTATAATATATCTGTATTTATGCATTTCCATAAAGGTACATACTTGATTGATTCCACTTCACTGAGCCTCAGTCGACAAATCAGGAATATCAATGAATCTTGGGTGGAGAAGTTGGTACATGAGATGGATGAATATTTAGATGAGACATATCTGCCCTTGATAGTGGTTTTGAAAAATGGTAGTAAAGATGACTTAATTCAATCAAACGTAAGTACATTACTTGTTTTACCTTGTTCGCAATGAAATGAAGTGGCGAGGTACAGTGTGACAATGTCCATTTTTGTTAGCACTT